TTTGTTAATTTTTAGCATCTCTTGCCATCTAGAAAGACAAGAATTTTCAAAATTAGGAGCTCTGGATCCTTTTTGTTTAACAGTCATTTATTTAGTTTAGTTTATTTCCTCTGTAAGAAACAAGAACATAATCAGGCAGTACTGTAACACTTTGACTTTGTATGGTAGTCAAAATTAGGAGCTCTGGATCCTTTTTGTTTAACAGTCATTTATTTAGTTTAGTTTATTTCCTCTGTAAGAAACAAGAACATAATCAGGCAGTACTGTAACACTTTGACTTTGTATGGTAGTCTTACGTAAATCAGAGAGCTCAGTGGCACATTTCCTCCTTTCCCGTTACGGAAGGCAATAGTGTTGCTAAGTTGCTTCGACTGCCTAACAAGGATATCCCATCCTTCAGTTTTCAAAGCATTTTCTTCTCTTCCCTTTGAGCCCTTGTGGTAGCATCCATGAAAATTCTACTAATAATCAAAGTGATTGATTGTTGAAGGCAATTTTGGTTTTCTCTAAGTGCTGCTCAGAATACTTCCAACCTTTGTCACCTGCCCAGTTACAAAGCCACGTCCACATTTTGAAATATATTTGTTATGGTAGCACCTCACTTCCCAGTGTCACCATCTACACGGATTATCTACTGCTGTGTAACGAAACTAAGCACACATCCCAAAACTCGTGCTTTTGGGTCAATTTCAGCTTCTACTGTCAAGTCGATTCTGACCCATAGAAATCCTGTAGGTCATGGTAGAACTGCCCATCTGCATTTCTCAGACTATTAACTTTTTATGGGAGTGGAAAGCCATGTCTTTCTCCCTTGGAGTGGTTGGTGGTTTCAAACTACTGACTGTGTTTAGCAGGTCGACGCATAGCCTCTGCGCTATGGGCTCCAATGGACGCTGTAGGACCCTACCTGGGCTCCAATGGACACTGTAGGACCCTATTAAACAAAAAGGAACCATAGGGTTGCTGTGTAACAAATGAGTCAAAAATTCAATGGCTGAAACAACCCCATTTGTCTTAGCGTTTGGGTGGGTCAGGGATTTGTTGTTGTAGTTGTTGTTAGGTGCCGTCAAGGCAGTTGGACTCATGCTGACCCTATGCACAATAGGAAGAAGCTGCCTGGTCCTGTGCCACCCTCATAATTGTTCCTCTGCCCGAGCCCCTTGTTACATCAACTATGTCAATCCATCTCATTGAAGGCCTTCCTCTTTATTGATGCCCTCTCGTTTACCAAGCATGAGGACCTCTTCCAGGGACTAGTTTCTGCTGACAACATGTTCAAAGTATGTACTTTGACATCTAGCCATCCTTGCTTCCAAAGAGCACTCTGGCCGTGCTTCTTTTAACACAGACTTGCTTATCCTTTTATCAGTCCATGGTACTTTTAATATTATTTTCCAATACCACAATTCAAATACATCAATTCTTCTTTGGTTTTCCTTTTTCAATGTTCACGTGCATATGAAGTGTTTGAAAATACTATGGCTTGGTTCAGGTACACGTTAGTCCTCAAAAAATAACATCCTAAAGATGTCTTGTGCAACACTATACTCTAAAGATGTCTTGTGCAACACATTTACCCAATGCAGTATATCTTTTGATCTCTTGACTGCTGCTTCCATGAGCATTGATTATGAATCCAAGCAAGACAAAATCCTTGACAACTTCAACCTTTTCCCCATTTATCATGATGTTACCTATTGGTCCAGTTATGAGGATTTTCTTTATATTGAGTTGTAATCCATATGGAAGGCTGCAATCCTTGATCTTCATCAGCAAGTGCTTTAAGTCCTCCTCACTTTCAGCAAGCAGAGTTGTGCCATGTTTTTAAGGCAGGTTTTAATAAGTCTTCCATTTCTTATGCCCAATTATTCTTCCTATCATCCAGCTTCTCTGATTATTTGCTCAATATACAGATTGAATAACTATGGTGAGAAGAAACAACCCTGACTGACACCTTTTCTGATTTTAAACCATGCAGTATTCCCTTGTTCTGTTTGCGCAACTGCCTCCTGACCCATGTACGTGTTCCACATGAGCACAATGAAGTGCTCTGGAATTCCTGTTCTCCTCAAGACTGTACTGTCCCTAGTTTGTTATGATCCACACAGTCAAGTGCGTTGACATAGTCAGTGAAAACAAGTAAACATCTTTTTGGTGTTCTCTACTTTGAGCCAAGAGCCACCTGGAATTTGGTGAGCCTTAACTTGGCCCCCTCCCTCCAGGTCTCTCTCAAGGTGTCAGCGAGGCCTGTTCTTTGAAGTTCTAAACTAACTAACCTCACCGCCATGGAGTTGATGTTGACTCAGAGCAATCCTACAGTGCAGGGTAGAACTACCTTGTGGGCTTTTGAGGCTATGAATTTTTACAGGAATAGGAAACCTCATCTTTGTCCCACAAAGCATTAGTGATTTCGAATTGCTGTTTGCAGTTAGTAGCCCAGTTTACCATGTGATTGTTGGCAGGATTCAGCGATCCAGTTCTCTGGATGTTAGAGGCCTTATTTTAATCTCGTGCCATATGAACCTCGCTATAGCAGAATTAATGGTGTGTTAGTTGGTTTCCATCACAGCGTGAGACCCAGCAAGACAGAGTGAGAATCTTTATAGCCTAGTCTCAGAAGTAATAGCACTGTAGCTCTCTTTTCTTTGTGAAACACTAATCATTAAGTCTAGCACACGTAAGAAGAGATTATACTGTGAATGAATATAAGAAAGTGGGCATCATTGGAAGTCCTCTTCGAAGCTGTATAAACTTTCTCCACTATTTGTATATGATGGTGAATTCATGCATTTATTAGCTTTGGAAGAGAATATTTAGAACACCAATGAAGTAATATTTACAGAACACATTTAACAGGTTCTTCACACCCTTCTAATTTACTGAGACTTGAAGGAAATTCTATGAGCATATTTTATACACACAAACCAAGTTTTCATCCCTAAATAAGTGCACTCCTTGTTCATATACTTATATATAGAATGATGGCATGTAAGATCTTTAGAGGTATTTTTGCAGTTGACGTATATCTGACTGTTAGATGAGTCAAGTGCCCTGTTGGCTTTTTCTCAGATTCTGATACATGTCAGTGTTTATGACCCATAAAAAATGAAATATATAGGTTCACGTTCATTTTTGTTAGATTAATCCTGACATCAGAGTTATTTTGAGGTTATGGAATAAAAACTAATATTGCTTCCACTTTGGGTGGATTAAATATGAGTAGTTTTATGATTCCAGAAATAATCATGAAGATTACTTCACATACATGATGAAGAATCTTTCTTTCGGTATTAGAGGAAGGGAAGGGGGTTTGAAAGAGCTGTTATCCTGTACTTATCCTGAGAAACATGTCTGCGTTGAAGATGGAAATCTTTGAAGATTTGTCCTTTGTTAGTCATGCTTCAGTGTATTCATTCTCCCTCCTACTCAAAACCACTCTGACTCTGGTACAGAAACCACTTTAATTTAGCTGACAGACATGACAGACCAGTTTGAAAAATAACAGTTATTATTTTTTCCATAGAATATTTTAGTGTTATTTGGTCTCAAACTTGGCTTTGTGTAGTCTGACAAATACATTGACGTTTCTAGGTTGAACATTCAAACTGAGTACATTTGAATAATTTTTCATTTCTGGCCTTCAGATGTATCATTATTTTCTTCAGATTTCACAGGAAGCATGGTGATTTATTTTGCAGTTAGTCTACAAAAGCTTAAGGCTTTGGAGTAGAAGTAAGGGATTTTTCATAGATCCTTAAAGCTAGTTATTTCACCCAGTTGCTGCAACTGAACCTCTGATTAGGTTTGTGAAAGTTTGCAAAATTGCCAACACATAATTATTAAATAACATTTTAGCTATCAAGCCATGTTTTAGGGCACTATATAACATAATTCCTTTTTAGACTATTCCTAACATATATAATCCTTTTTTTCATATTTTACAGGCAATATCACTTTGCAAAGCAAGATGGGCAACATCGTGATAGGTATGTTGCTAAAGTGCTAGTTGTGAAAAAGTGCTTTTTAAAATACCTGTATGTGGAAGGCTTTACTAAGGAACATAAAGTCAGTGGTATAACTGATGAACCTGATGGGATCCTGATGGGATCCTGATGTGCAAATAAATTATAGGCAGAGCCAGTATATGAATGTATGAAGCTCTTTGTGAAAATTTATTGACATAACATCCATAACTTGTATAATTTTAGGCTTTATGTCAGTTGCAATCTGATTGCACCACTTTCCTTAACTTCTCCGTGTCTTAGCTTCCACATGTACAACCACAAAATCCTGCTCAGTTCATCCGCACAATTGCCATTATGTTTGTGCTCATTGTTGAAGCCACTGTGTCAATCCAACTCATTGAGGGTCTTCTTTTTTACCAAATATGATGTTCTTCTCCAAGAACTGGTCCCTCCTGAGTATGTATATATATACCGAATCAATTTTAGACAAAACTGTCGAAGTAAGCCTTTGGATAAAAGAAAAAAATTTTTTAAATGGTGCTACAACAACTGGATATTCATAGGGGGGGACAAACTGACCCTTGACTACACCCAGAAGTTCACCAGAGATGGATGAATGGTAAAAGCAAAAATTTTCAAAGTGCTCGAAGAAAGCACGGGAGAATATTTTCATAACTGAAGGTGGACGAAGTTTTTTTTTAACTGGTAAATTAGACCTCATCAAAATACACATCCGCATGATGGGCCTGCTACTGGGACTGACATTCTCTGTTGCAATTTGAATATTATCCTTTTACCTTATCCCTACAAATTCTACAGAGATCTAGGACTTTCTCTTTCCCAAGGAGCTCCGCTTCTCGCCTCTTGCTTCTCTATTCACTCTAGAAATGTCCCCTCCTGTCCCAGATGATTTCTCTGGTAAACTAGCTTGAAACATCAACAGTAAATCATGATTTGCAACAGAAATACAGATAAATCCTTTGGTCACATCTTAGTTAAAATGATTAACCATTATCACATAGGAAACATTTGCTTTCTCTACTCCCCCCCGCCCCCCTTGAACATGAAAATTATAATCTGTCAAAAAATGTTTAAAAGGAGGTGTACTTCGGCCCAGAAATCCAGCAGCAATGAAAGTGGTAAGGACTTTTGGACACATTCACTGTTTCAAGAAACAAAGAGAGGAAGACATCTGAAATCTCAGAACGAGCAAAGTAGGTCCTCACATTAGTAATATACTGCAGCTTCCCACAAATATTCCAGTGTTCCACCCCCAACACCCCATGAAGGGGCTCTGGTGGTCTGGGGGTGACACGTTGTACTACTAACCACAAAGCCAGCACTCCCAAACTACCAGCAGCTCCTCGGGAGAAAAACAGAGGGTTTGTTCCTATAAAGCGTTACAGCACTGGAAACTCCTAAGGTGCAGTTCTCCTCTGCTCTGTAGGGTCAGAATGATGAGTCAGAATAGACTTGACAGCAGTCGGCATGGTTGTTTGTTTTTAACACCCCACACTCCACTGTCTGGAATTGAGTGTGTCTTTTCCTTTTGATAGGCAGACAGACACTACCTAGGAGAGAGAAGAGGGCTTGCAATTTCCACATCTGAAAAGATGAAAATAATAATAAGTACCTACCTGACAGTTGTTGTAGGATTAAGTATATATGAATACTTTAGCACAGTATCTAACATATAGTAAAAATACAATTATTAGTAACTTTTTAAAAAATAAAGAGATAGTATTTCTTTTTGGAATTGTGGGCTGCACAGTTTCTGTCTGGACTATGTATCTACTGCTGTGACAGTATCCATAAATATACACTGTGTTCCAATAAAACTTTATTAACAGAAACAGGATGCTGACTGCAGTTGGCTGATCCCCTTGCTTTAGAGCCTAGATACCATTTCTGTATGTGCTGCTGGAGAGATTTGGGTTTTGTGTCTTAATCCAAAAAGTGACAAGGGGGTAGGGTTTATTTGGAATTTCATATGATTGGTTTGTGTTTTCCTTGAAACAAAGTTTGATGAAGAAAGTTCGAAGTCAGACAACATACTGAGTAGCTTGGAGTTTGAGGAGTTGATATTAGTAGAAGCAAAACAGTTACAAATAAATTATACTAACTTGTAGAAATCTGAGGTGGGAACAATTAATATTAATAACTATAACTAATATTAAATTAGAATAGCTATGGTTTCAAAATATTGGCATGGATCCCAATAATAGGGTGTATCTAAAAAAGCAAAAATGAAAAATCACAGCCATTAAGTCAATCCTTCATGACTCATCCTAATCCTAGAGGACAAAGTGCAACTGTCCTTTTGGGTTTCCAAAACTGTGTGTCTTTTAGGGGAGCAGAAAGCACTGCCCTTCTCTTACTCAGCAATTAGTTGGTTGGAACTTCTGACCTGGCTAATGATTAGCAAATCAGTGCATAACTCACTGCACCGCCAGAGCTCCTTAGGAGGTGATACATGTTATCAAGTTGGGTATTTCGGAGGCTAGAAATGACTTAGGTCACTTAGGTATTGCCCTGTCTGAATGCAGATTATACCCTCGCCATGATTTCTTTATACAGAAGATAGACATGTAGGTATGATTATGGTCATTATTTCCAAAAATAATATAATTTATTGATCAAGTTCTGAAGTAAACTCATTAGTGATTTTTATTATATATACAAGGAGACTTCAAAAAGTTCCTAAGAAAATATAATTGAAAGATAATGAAATTTCCCCCCAATTTTTAGAAGTCCCCTCATGTACATTCTAGCCTCGCTCCCTAAACCCCATTCTTTCTGATTATATAAAATAGAGCGCTCTCTCTCTCTCAAAAGCCAAAGCCTATAAAATTCTATTTATTCTTAGACTCACATTTAAAAAATAATATTTAAAATGAGTCAGCAGGAGAAAGCACAGCTTGCTAGTAGTTAGAAAGAAGTATGATCGGCCGTCAAGTCAATTCTGACCTTTAGTGATCCTCAAATTCAGCTCACTGCCATGGAGTTGATGCAGACTCATAACCACCCTGTCGAGCAGGATAGACCTGTTCCTGGGAGTTTCCAAGACTGTAGCTCTTTACAGTCTTAGAATCCAGCCCAACCCACTATCCCACCAGGAAGTGGATTTTCTGCCCCTGTGGCCTCCTTTGGAAGACACTGCTAAAGTGGTAATGGTATTTTCATACATCTTTACACTACTTTTTCCTTTGTGTGTCTCTCCCTATTGCCTGGCAGGACATTAGTCTAGAAAGCTTCTTCTGAAATGACTTATGCTCTGTGCTTTTTCTGAAACTTTTTCTGAAATGACTTATGCTCTATGTAAAAATTGTTCTTGTTCTTACAATGGGTTCACATTGGAAGAACAACTGACCTTGAGCAACACTTGTTTGACCAGCATAGGTCCACTTGTTTGTGTGGTTTTTTTTCAACAAATGTATTGTAAAATATTTTGGAGATTGGAAAAAAAACTCAGACAAACCCTGTAGCTTAGAAATGTTGACAAGATTTAAGAAAAAGCTAGGTATACCATGAAGGCATAAAATATACATAGATACTAGTGGATCATTTAATACTATTAACATATGCAGAAATCTAATACGAGAAGTTAAAATTTATCTAGAGTTATGCACCCAAATACTTAAAGACCACTGCTGGCACCATTCACAGTCAGGAGCATGTAAGCAAGCATAAAGATGCAGTATTAAATCATAGCTACATAAAATAAACCGTAGTGCATACTGTACAGCTATGATCTCATAGCCCCTCCTGTTGTTGCTCTAGTGAACTCAAGTGTTGGGGGTGTCCACTAAACATGAGCAATTCATCTCTTTAGTAAATTGTATATGCAGTCAAAAGTGATTTCATGATTTTCACATATTTAAAAAAAAACATGTTTACTGCAATACCAAAAGCTTTGACGTGTTTCTTTGGTGGTACATCTTGCTAGCTAGTGATTTACATCATTTATTTTCTTTGGTATATGTGATTTCCCAAGAAAAGTCAGTGGTCTTAAAATGAAAATACCTTTACCCTGAATTATGATGGAAAACTCTCCATGGGCACCTACTTTTTCTGCTACTGTCTGAACTAATAATTCTTTGCACTCTTTAATTACCCTCTGGTGCATATTCCCCCCAGACTTTCTCCAGTAAGTATAGAATTGCTTCATTATGTAATCCCCCCAACGAAATGAAATTATTTAGATGATACCTTAATTTCACTCAGTGGATAATTGTTAGCTATAATCATACTGTTACAGACAACAAAAGAAAATGAGAGTTTGTCATTGCTGCATGGTTTTAAAATTCATTTCTGCTTTCTATTAAAAATATGTTTTATTTTGTTTTGTTTTGATAGCCTTTAAAGGATGAGCCATTATCATAGCTGAAGACTGATAATGCAAGGATATAATGACTTAGTGGTTTTCTTCCTCTTCTTCTTTTTAAAGCTGTTTATTTCCCATTTGGAGAAAAAATAAATGAAAAGTATTGCTTATGAGCCAGATAAAATTCTTAGGTTTTGTTTATTTCATTAAAAAAAAGTACTTCCCTAGATAGGAAGCAAGGGATAAAACTAATGTTTTAAGCATTTACTTTGTTCATCCTGGGTTTATACACACATCACATGGTCTATGTATTTTACTGCATCATTTTTTAACTTGACTTCTTTGGGAATACAGTAAGAGGATTTAAAATACAGTTTCTGTTAGTATTGAGTAATATTTGGACCTTTTTTTCAGTTGTTCCCTTTTATCTCCATTGGCTTAATTTTCTAACAGTACTTACGTTTATTTGTAAATTTTTAAAGAATTTTATTGGCATATTATTCACAAGTCATACAACTCAATAGTTCAGTCCTATCAAGAAGAGATGTACAATCATCACCACGATCAGATTTTGATCATTTTCTTCATTCTTGTATTCACTGTATTAGCTCCTCAGTACTTATTTTTAAATTGTTAAAGATAGATCATTATCAGCTATCTTTGATTCAGATTTTGAATAATTTGTTCAAAAGTTTCTTTAAAATTATTAAGGAAAAAATGACTCCTTTGTATATATGCAAATATTCCTCTTTATATTTTATAAAAAGTATAATATGCTTTTTGACATTTTTAAAAACCACACTCCATCCTTTGTTTCAGCTTTGAAGTAATAAAAACTGCTGAAAAATATTCTTTCTAAGGGCCTTCCCTAAAAGAATATATAGTAGCCTTTTGGGGACACTCAGATAAAATATTAAATTAAAGGAATAAATTGGCCCTAAAGAGAAGGAAGGGTAAGTTACTTAGCACTAACTCCTTAATATAATTGCCTCAAGTCTTTATCTCTGATGCTGTCAGTTTTTCTTTGAGCTTAAAATGTTGGGTGACTGAAAACTGCATTTACTGACGATTTATTTAACACACTGTCATGTGTTAAAACAGTACTACCACAATTCAAACAGAGCAAAGAGATACTACTACATGGTTTAAAATCAGGAAGAGTGTGCACCTGAGTTATAAATTTTTGCTATACTTATTCAGTCTATACATTGAGGAAATAATCCAAGAAGCCAGATTATATGAGGAAGAAAATAGCATCAAGATTGTATGACAGCACATTAGCAACCTTTGATTTGCAAATATCAAAACCTTGCTTGTGAAAGTCCACGTGCATTTCACACAGGTCCTTTTATTGTAATGGCTGGTTGGTTCTGGAGTTTACTCAGTATACAAAGCACGGATTAGGTGTATGCCAAATAATTCTTTTAAGCTTATAGAAAGTTCAAAACTGTACAGGAAAATAGTGCTTGGTAAATTCAGTATAGCAAAAAAGATTGGTAAATTAGAAAAATCAGTGGGTGCTTATCTTAAGAGAGATTATTCTCTTCTGTTTCTGTAGTACTAATCTCCATGAAAAGTAACGATAATCATATATATATGATTAAACTATTGAAATGTATGATTTGTGAATTATATGTGAATAACTATTGCAAATTTTAAAATTAAAAAATAATCATAATCAGCCTAAGGTAACCTGATTCCATATCTTATAGTGTGAATCAAAATGTGTTATGCCTGGTGGCTAGAAGCCAAAATTAACATGAAGATAACAATGACAGTCACTAAAGACCCAAGTCCTCCTAAACTAGTTCTTATTAGTTTGCCAAATTGAGTGTCATTTATTTGGACATATTGTGACTCGAGCAGCTATAGTATTTAAATGACTGTAAGTCATTTAAGTTATCAAAAAGTAATGCAAAAGGTAAATGATGCTGATCTTATGTAATAAATATATTTTATTACCAAAAAAAAAAAAGAAAGTGAAGAACATTTAAAGCACTTGCTGATGAAGATAAAAAATTAGTCTTCAGTATGGATTACAACTAAATGTGAAGGAAACAAAAATCTTCACAACTAAACTGATAAACTCAAACTCACTGCTGTCAAGCCAATTCCAACTCTTGGCAACCCTATAGGACAGAGTAGATCTGCCTCTTGCAGAGTAGCTGGTGGTTTTGAACTGCTGACCTTTCGGTTAGCAGCCCAATTCGTAACCTACTGATAAACAATATCATGATAAATGGTGAAAAGTATGAACTGCTCAAGAATTTTGTCTTAGTTGGCTACACAACCAGTGCTCATGGAAACAACAGTCAAGAACTCAACAGATTGCCTTGGGCAAATCCACTGCAGAAGACCTCTGTTCAATATGAAAGAACAAAGGAGACTTTGAGGCCTAAGGGGCCAGAAGAACAAACAAATCTGTCTTGGGAGAAGTACAGCCAGGATGCTCCTGAGAAGCAAAGATGATGAGCCTTTGTCTCACGCACTTTAGAGATGTTATTGAGAGAGACAATCCCCTGGAAAAGGACATCATACTTGGTAAAGTTGAAAGGTCAAGGGAAAAGAGGAAGACAATCAAGGAGAAGGCTTGACACTGGCTCTGACAGTGGGCTTAAGCATAACAATTGGAAGGCACAGAACTGGGCACTGCCTTGTTCTGTTGTGCAGAAGGTTGCTATGCGTTGAAAATGGCACCTACTTACGACAACAGCAAAAGTTAACCATTTTCTACCTATGACTTAAAGATATTTGTTCAGTTCAAGAAATGTAAAAAGAGCAAAGTATTAAGTCAAACTACTTTTTTTTCTTTTCTCTCTTAAAACGTGCAAAAAATCTTGCCTGATTTTTCACTATTAATAGCATTTTTTTTTAGTGCTAGCCAATTTGCTAAAAGAGGTAATGATAAGAGATTTTGATTTAGTTTAACTCATGCATTGGGGCTGCATACCGCAAGGTCAGCAGTTCAAAACTACCCGCTGCTCTGGCATAAGGATGAGGCTTTCTACTCCCATAAGAATTTACAGTCTTACAATGGATGTATGTATGGATTGTGATAAGAGTTGTACGAGCCCCCAATAAAATGATTTTTAAAAAAGAAAAGAATTTACAGTCTTGGAAATCCACTAGAGCAGTACTACTATGTCCCTATAGGATCACTACGAGTCAGAGTTGACTGGATGGCAGAGAGTTACCTATATGTGACTGATAGAATTCTTTGGTAAATATTGACAAATTTCTAAGTTTATCAATATGACTGTAAATATATCAGGGATACTTAATGGTCTTGTCTGTGAAACCTATAGCTTGCACACTATCTTTCCCATCTGTTAGGTTTTAGAGCAAATGTGCTTTAGAAAAAGGACCCTTGGTGGTGGTGTGAAATATGCATCGGACTGCTAACTGCAAGGTCAGCAGTTTGAAACTACCAACCACTCCGTAGGAGAAAGATGAAGTTTTCTCTTCATCGTTAAAGATGTACAACCTTAGAAACCCACAGCGGGCAGTTCTGCATTGTCCTCCACAGCCCTTTTTGAGTTGGTATCGACTTCCTGCCAGTGAGTTTGATTTTTTGAGGTTTTAGGTCTAGAAATAAGCGATGCAGGTAAATGTACACAGGAATTTTGTAATCATTTGTCTGTATAGATGTCTACATTTCTTATGTGTTTACCTTGTAAGGCCAAAGATGGCATTGTTAGGATATTACAAAACTTTAGAAGACTAACTTTTTAGTTGAATGTTGTAGCTGAGCCTTTTAAAATATATATGTAATTCCATTTACTCAAATAAGAATGATCATACTTACGGTTTTTCTTCCCACCAGATTCATCCTGTGGATGCCTAAAAGCCTCAACCCATCAGGGTGACATGGATGTTTATGTCAGCCAACTGGGAAAAGTAGACTTGAAATCCCATGGAGGTTAGCCAACTGGAACGTTTTATTTTGACATATGGTGTAAGGAAGGTTTTATGTAAGTTTCAAGAAACAGGTGGTCATCTTATCTTCTCTAGACTGACAGTTATTTCAAGAAAGCTTCAGCTGATAGGAGTTAATTAAAGACTACTGCTAACTCCATCGACCAGTGATCTTCACATTCTTTGGGACAGGCAGCACGGGGACTTCACTTTGTAGTACAAACAAAAGTGTAATAGTTTGACTGTCTGTTCTTGTGGGATTTGTAAATTGCTACTCTTTGAGTTTTCCACTTAGTTTTATGTCTGAAATAGGATATTCTTTAGAAGGAAAGTACTGCCATATGCTCTACTGGAAACTTGCCTTTCTAAGGGGATGTTCCCTGGCTCCTCTAGAGTAATAGTTTCTAAAATGTGATCAACAGAAAGGGCCTTTAAAATGATTGTTCAGCTAGTCTACTGAAGCATACAGTTATGATGTCAATCTCTATAATGTAATTTCTAATTCAAAATAACTTACTTTGAGGGTCTAAATCTTTCATTAAAAGTGGTATACTTTCTCGCTAACAGAAGGCTGAATGTGTATGTGTTTGTACACACGTGCTAGCAAAAAGCTTGGGTATAGTCGCTTGACCATAGTGGCTAAAGTGGCCTGTTGTTATTTCTAGGTGCCACGGAGTCAGTTCCGACCCATAGTGACCGTATGCACAAACAAAACAGAACACTGTACAGTCTTGTGCCATCCTTACAGTTGTTCCTATGCCAGAGCCCATTGTTGCAGGCCCAGTGTCAATCCAACTTGTTGAGGGCCTGGGCATAGAAAATAGAGGATCATAGCTCTACATTAAAAATTCAAAATAAAGTGTAGAAGTTCTTGTTTATTGCTCAGAATGAGGAAAATACTTCTTCTTTTTTAAAAAATCATTTTATTAGGGGCTCATACAACTCTTATCACAATCCATACATACATCCATTGTGTAAAGCACATTTGTACATTCATTGCCCTCATCATTCTCAAAACATTTCCTTTCCGCTTAAGCCCCCAGCATTAGGCCCTCATTTTTCACTCCCTCCCCGCTCCCCCCTCCCTTATGAACCCTTGGTAATTTATAAATTATTATACTTCTTACGGAAACTGGCTGTTGGTGAAATTAATAATGCCTTTGACAGGGTGACTTCATCCTTTTTCACTCAACGAGGCTCCCTTGTCAAAGTGTCAAAATAAGGCTTGAAGTCACAAGGTCTGTGAAACTGAAGTTTCTGCTGACATAAAGGTGTATTTGATTTCTTAAGGCCACATTTCTCCCCTTTAAAATAGGGTAATATGTCTTCACTGACTTTCTAACTACTTCATTATTCAGAGTGTTTTGTAAATCCAAATAAATCCACATAATTTCACTTGCATATTAAGATACAAAGAGAAAACCTGAACCATTATTACCTTTACTAATGATAGAGTAAAAACAGTTTTGAATAGGCAACTCTCTCTTTTTTTTAAATCATTTTATTAGGGGCTCATACAACTCTTATCACAATCCATACACACATCAATTGTGTAAAGCACATTTGTACATTCATTGCCCTCATCAATCTCAAAACATTTGCTCTCCACTTAAGGCCCTGGCATTGGCTCCTCAGTTTTTCCCCTCCCTCCCCACTCCCCATCCTTCATGAACCCCTGGTAATTTATAAATGATTATTTTGTCATATCTTGCACTGTCCAACGTCTCCCCTCACCCACTTTTCTGTTGTCCCTCCCGCAGGGAGGAGGCGAATAAGCAACTCTTACATGAAAGTTGATTTCCTTTTTATGCAATAATCTAAAAAGTGAAACACAACAAACAACAATCATTGTTAATCCTCATCTACTTCAAATTTTTCTATTACTTGCAATGTTGTTCCAGTAACCTATTGAAGTAACATATGGTGTTACAAATTTGATTAGAATTGCAAATTTTGTGTTTTCTCCTTTGGAGGCCCTGTTACTGGCAGAAGCTTAAAGAAACTAGAAACAAAGATTCTGTTGGACTTCAAGTCTTTTCATTCTCATTACACTTGGGAACAGTAACTTTTTAGAGAAGTGGAAATTATTCAGGTTTCTGTTGCTTCATGGTTAGTAAAGATATCTGGAATCCATTCCAACTCTGTCACTGTCTTGCTATAGGGTTCAGAGCCATCCCTTGAGTCTCTTAGGTCTTACTCATTTGCCATGGCAAAGAACATGTTGAGATGCTTGCTTCCTCTTTCCCTGGTGACTTTAGGTAATTCAGAAGACTGGTCGGACCTGGGCGTACAGAGTACTGACTCTCCTACTTAACTTTTTGTCTTTGGGAACATTACTAATCTTAACTTAGTATGCCTCTATTATATTATACTGCTAGTATTCATTCATTTTGAATTTTGAAAGCAAACAATTTGCTCATAAAGTGAAAAGAGGTTGAAGACTTAACAAGAGCCCTCTTTTCTAAAAAAAGATAAGTCTGAAGTGTTGGAGCCCTGGTGGTTCTGTCAGATGAGTATTGGGCTGCTGTCCTTGAGAGGAAGCTAAGAGCTTCTGCTCCCGTAAGCCTCTACTGCTCCGAGACCCTGCATAGCGTTGCTGAGAGTCACAGTCAACTGAATGGCAGTGGGTAAATGTGAAAGATGGGGTATTTGGGGAAGTTTTCAAGTTATGGGAATTCTTCTTCCCAAACAATGAGGGAGTTTTGGTACGGGTGGTTTTAATTATTTAAGGATGTGGAGGAGGATAGAGATAGAACTAATTAAATTGCTTAATATGCTTAAAGCTCTTATAGTTTTAAAGTCCCTTTATTCTTTTAAGAACAGAAAATAAAAAATGTTTTAAATTACCAGGTCCAATACATTTAAAGATGAAAAGTCCTAGAGAAAAGTGCTTTTGAATTCACGATTTTCTGTTTTTGATATCTTTGGTAGAAAAGCATGTACCTTCTATTCATACTAAAATGTAATATCCAAGATTTTGGTGGTTTCCTCCCCTTCCCCTTTCCTTAAAACTCATATCATTTATTATGTGGGAGTCTACTGCCTGTGGCTTCCATTTGAGCCAACAAATTTCAAAAAATTGACAGTATGCTTTTTAATAAAATATTGCCGATTGTGATGTGTTCTGTTTCCTTCTTTTTTGAGGCCTGAGTATGAGGGTTCATCAATTTTACCCCAAACTTCTAGCCTTCATTAGGAAGGCTAAACCCCAGCGAGAAAAGATTCCATTATAAAAGACTGTAGGAGAAGTCATTCTTCATATATTTCTCTGTACAAATCTCCTTATTTGAAAACCCTATCTCTGCGTACTTTACTGCTGAGGATATGAGAACTTACTTAGGGTAATTTAGCTAGTGTTAACTTGATCAGAAGTAATGACTGGTTATTCAGTGCACCCTAAAAGGAATCTTTATAACGTTCACTATGCATGTCACCCCGAGCATTTTTGTCCACAGAGATGGGTCAGGGGCCTCTTGCCCCTTTTATTTGATATCTGGGGAACTGAGACAGGAAAACATCTGAAATGGGACTGTGCTGGGGAGTTTGCACTGCTGAGCAGGACACTGGAAAAAATGCCTCCCTGGCTCACAGTATACTTTATGATTTCCTTCTTTTGAAGGGTGAGTTACCCTAAGATTGTGCTGGAAATCAAGTCAGGTACTCAAAACTTGACATCCACTCAAAATATGTAATCCTTTTTCGGTTGTGAATTTTTCTCCTCCTGCTTGTGGCACAATAGGAAGTACAAGAGCTCAGCCTGGTGGTTGTGGTAGAATAGTCGGTGAGGTCACAGTGCTGTGGTTTGATGAGATAATCGTGTGTGAAATACTGTTGTCAATCAGAACATGGCTTCCTAGTCATCGAACCGTGTCTCGATTCTAATACTGGCAGTAGTAGAAATGTGACAGAACTTCTCTTCTGTCAAATGGAAATAATAGTAATTCCTAAGAACTATGTAGGCAATAAAAGATATGATGTAATTGAAGTATCTGGCTCATAGTAACTGCTTATTAAATGGCAAATCTTGTCTGCAGTTGCATGTGCAGTAAGCCATTGCCTTTTCTGGTTTGAATGAATTGGCTAGGACTATTGGTGAAAGAACTGGTAATTCAAAATGCCCTTAGGAGGAAGGAGGCTTTGCTCATCTGTAAGGAAAAGACCGTACTATGTAAATAAGCTCAGAAGAAAACTGGGACTTAGACTCCTGTAAAGAATGACTGTCTCAAAAACCCACAGGGGCAGTTCAGCTCTGTCCTACAGGGTCTCTGTGAGTTGACAGCAACTCAATGGGAGTGAGTTTGTTTCTTTTGATTTGGGTTAAATAAACATCCTGAAGAATAGTTACCAGAACTAAAGTTACCCTTTTGACATGAATTATAATAGGCACTTCAGTTTTTGGTTTTTTTTACTTGAATAAATTCTCCTTTAAAATTTTGCAGGCTCCATTATTGTCAAGGTGCCATCTTCTCTTCAAACTCACTTACAGTTATCGGGGAAAGAGGTTGACGTGAACACAGAAGTCCGTGTTCAGGAAATGGCTGAAGCTCACAAGGGCGATGTCATAACAGTTACTGGTAAGGAGGCTGTGTTTCTGCTCTGGGGGGTGAATAGTCGTGGCAGCCTTTTCATTCTTCTGTTATCATATTCTAGTGGCTGCCATTCGTTTCCTTTTACCTTCTTATCGGTAGCATGATGCAGACATCTTATTGTCAAACACGTCATTAAATCACATTTAGAGCACTCAGCAGTCCTGTCATTGGATTCATTTATTTTAAAAGTTTTCTGGCATTGCTACTTTCTAATTCTTAGACTTGAAAAAGTCAAGTGAATACATACATTATAATGAAAAATTTCAAAGTAACTGTGTCTTATTAAAGCAAATAAGAATTTGATTCAAAAAAAAAAAAAAAGAATTTGATTCAGCAGCAGGCACATTATAAACCTGCTCTTTCAGTATACCAACTTCTCAATTCTACAAAGATGTATAGTTTGGGGACATTTTTACCAACTGCATGTTTTAAAAACGTATATTGTTTTAATAGATAATGAATACACTTAAAAAACAAGATAATGCTAATAAAGTTTCCTGTTAAGTTCTTCTACAAAGACATTGAAAAAGACATGGAAATTAAATTGTGCACATGTATATGTTTTTTATTTACCTATAAGGTACTGACTAAAGAAATGTATGATGCATGTGGGGATATTTCATAATATTAAGTTTCAATTTTAAATATTCATTTTATATTCCATTAAAGTTTGAAAACAGTCTGTTGAAAATGATAGAACACTGGTTGTACCCAGGTTACAAAAGTCTGACTTATGGGCAACTCCTACTTAAACTTTAATACAGGGCTTGCATCTGTTCTGTCATGGCTGATGAAACAGGAAGAGACAAGAATTTTTATAATTTGAGTGATTTGTCACAGTAAGCAGAATAGGAAAAAATTATGGGTTGAAACCCAGTAATGGGAGGCTTTGAAAAGGCTTAGTAATGAGACTTTTCAGGAGCCTGATACATGAGATTGGATTACTGACGGGACTGTGAAGAGCCACACACATTCAGAGAGACACACTGGGCCTCAGTCTTGGAGCCCGGGCCATTTTCTTTGAGCTGGCAGCTTGGGGTCAGGGTAGGACACTACCATCTATATATATTTCCCTAACTGTGTTAGACAGGGTTCTCTAGAGAGATAAAACTAAATTGCTGATAATTTAATATATTTATATATAAAGATAATTAGATATATAACACAAGAAATGAACTGTTAAATTACATACAGATAGATAGATAGTACAAGCAATGAACAGTTAAATTATAAAGCACTACAAATGGTTCAATGCAACTCACTCCTGTGAGAGAGAGTTGTGAGAGACTAGCAGTCCTTCAAGTCTAGTCTGCTGCCAGATCTTCCTCTATTTATAGAGAGAGCTAGGCTATGTCAGCACAGCAGCCAATCAGAAGGCAGGTGACCAACCGCTAGCCAGGTGACCAACTGCCAGTCCCCAGCTCCAGAGATGTCTTAAAGGGACCTCAACTTACAGTGACACACACAGGCTAGGCGTCCCACAGGTAGTGTAGCCTTTAAATTGAGGCACAGAACAAGCAAGACAGCCGCACACTGGTCCGATGATCAAAGAGCGAGAGATAAGAAAGACGAGGCTCACCAAGCCATTTATCTCTTTGCCCTTCAGTTAATCCCACTTGTGTTTATTGGCCAGGCTGGCACAATAAATTATCTCACAAACCCTGCCCCTACGCATGTTAATTCTTCATCACAACTTCATTTGCCACATGTAACATAAATCTTTAAACAATGATTTTTTTAATCAACATGGATTATATTTTTTTACATCATTTTATTGGGGGCTCGTACAACTCTTATTACAATCCATATACGTCCATTGTGTCAAGCACATTTGTACATATGTTGCCATCATCATTTTGAAAGCATTTTCTTTCTACTTGAGCTCTTGGTATCAGCTCCTCATTTTTCCCCTCCTTCTCCCCTCCCCCTCCTTCATGAACTCTTGATAATTTATCAATTGTCTTGAACTGTCCGGTGTCTCCCTTTACCCCCTTGTCTATTGTCCATCCCCCTGGAAGGGGTTTATAGGTAGGTTATTGTGATCGACTCCCTTTCTCCCCCACTTTTTCCTTCCCTGCTGATATGGCTACTCTCAATATTGGTCCTGAGGGGTTTATCTGTCCTGGATTCCCTGTGTTTCCAGCTGTTATCTATACCTGTGTACATGCTTTGGTTTAGCCAGATTTGTAAGGTAGAATTAGGGTCATGATATTATGTGTCTGTGTGTGTGTGGGGGGGGGGGGAGCATTAAGGAACCAGAGGAAAGCTGTATGTTTCATCGGTACTATACTGCACCCTGACTGTCCCATCTTCTCCCCACGACCCTTCTGTAAGGGGATGTCCAATTGCTTACAGATTGGCTTTGGGCCTCCACTTTTATTGGGGGCACTCTTATAACAATCCATACATTAATTGTATCAAGCACATTTGTACATATGTTGCCATCATCATTTCCAAAACATTTTCTTTCTACTTGAGCCCTTGGTATCAACTCTTCTTTTTTCCCTTTTCTTCCCTGCCCTTCCACCATTGTGAAACATGAAAACACATGAAAATAAAAGATTTTTATTTTCATATTTTACACATTCCACTGTTTCCCTTCACCATGTTTCTGTTGTTTGTCCCCCACCCCCCATGGGGGGGTGTATGTAAATCATGGCGATTGCTTTCGTTTTTCTCTCCCTTCTCCCCCACCTCCCCTACCCTCAGGGTATTGTTACTTTCATTACTGGTCCTGAAGGGTTTATATGCCCTGGATTCTGTGTGTTAAGAGCTGTCTCTGTACCAGTAAACATGCTCTGGTGTAGTTGGGTTTGTAAGGTAGAACTGGGGTCATGATAGTGGGGGAAAGCAAACATTAAAGAACTAGAGGAATTTTGTGTGTTTAATTGGTGCTATAAATAACTTATAAATCTTTAGAGGAGCAGACAACCTCATCTTTCTCTCAAGCAGCAGCTGTTGAGTTGGAATCACTGACCTCAATGCATAGCCCTCTATGCCAGCAGGGCTACCCTCATGCTCAAAAACAGTGGTTCTCCACCTTCCTCATCCCACGGCCATTTCATACAGTTCTTCATGTTGTGGTGACCGCCCAACCATAAAATTCTTTTTTTTTTAAATAATTTTATTAGGGGCTCATACAACTCTTATCACAATCCATACATACATCAATTGTGTAAAGCACATTTGTACATTCATTGCCCTCAT